CATGACCCAAAGTTTGAACCAGGGGAAAAGCAACTGAGTGGTAAACATTGGCAGGAACATTCGGACAGCAGGAGTGCTCAAGCACGTTATGAAAGGTCTGATTTGGATCGCCACATATGCAGGGTGAAGGCCACTAGCAGTGCCAGTGAAGATGAACAAGCTGCTCCTGTGAAGCCGGCTCCTCCACCTAAGCCCGAGAGATCCCATAGTGTTCGAGAGCGGCACCATTACAACCAGTCCAGTCTTCCTGCATATTTACCAGACAATTCAGATAGAGACCACAGTGGAACATACTCCCATCAGTCACAGGGGCAGAGACAAAGCACCGTTACTTTGCAGTCGCATTACGACAACCTGGATGACTATCATCCAGTACCTCAATCCCAAACCACGCTAGCAAATCGGGGTTGTTCCAGTTCCTATCATAGCCCCGGTTTCTCAACTCCACACAGTAATCGTGCATACTCCACTGCCTTGGGACAGGGTGCCTTCATACAAGCTGAGCTTTCAGTGCAAAGGCCAGAGACTGAGATAAATGCTGAGTGACCAGGCATTTAGTCGCAAAAGAGACACATTTGGAACATTGTTGGTGTCAATAATAATTGAGTTGAAGTTCAGCAGCCTCTGCGGGACAGTGGACTGCCTTCTGACTGTTTGCGTTTCTTTTTCTTTGTTTTTTTTTGTAAATGTACAAAGAAGTGTAACATAATTTTTACCGAACTGAATGTACCATAATTTCATTGGTTTAAACATTGACATGGAGATACAACTTGTTATGATACTGTAGATACTCTGTGATATTGACAAATGGTACATGAGTCATAACCAGACGAGTTATGTATATCTGAAAAGTACTACTGGATATAAGGGACTCTTGTTTTATTATTTTTGAAAATGTCTGGGACTGGGTATAAATGAAGTGTAAAGGTTTGCATTTTAGAAATGCATGTAATCTTATCTTTTACAGAACAGTTCTGTGTACCTTGATATAAATATATATTGTGTACTTTCTGGATGTTACAGTAACAGTGGAAGGGAAGCCCTGTTTAAGTCATCCTACATTCATTTTACACAAGGTGGTACATGCAATTCTTTATTTCTGCCTTCAGCCTGGGGGCACCAAAATGTGCATTCTTCATTTTGTCCAAACTGTGCCATTACTCATTTAGGTTTTATCACAAGCAACTGGATTTACTGTCTTTCTTTGAAAGCTTGACATGATTTGACTGAACTCTTCTTGGATAGGTTGCTCTTTATTGTTAGGGGGACCAAGCGATAAATGTGGATCGCAGAAGTATTCATTAAGAAGTTGTTTGACTACGCTTAAAGGTGAAAGAGCCAGTGTGAAGTGACTTGGACCCATTTCTCCCCTCCATGTTAAGAAAAATGTGAGCTTTTGATGCATTTAGCAGTTATATTATGTTTCTGACTGATTTTAGACCAGCACCTTACTTACATTTTGTAACAAGCCGCATTACTAAATTTCACATAGACGTTCTGTAAGGGAAGTTGTTTACCTAAAAAGGTTGTTCATTTCATTCGGCTGCACAGTTTGTGCTTTCACAATGAGGACAATTTTTATTGCTCTCAGAATTAGCCTGTCAGGTGGAGATAAACCTATATATTAGTTATTGGAAAAGGCAGTTAATGATCAGGGGACCCAGTTTTGCCAAGTCATTGCATGTTACCGTTCTGTCAGACAGTAATTATTATTGTATAACAATGCCTTTAATTCATATTGGTAATAAGTATACAAATGAGCCCAAGCTCACAGTTTGTATGTTTGTGGTTGATTCCCTGATAACATCTGTTTTTGTGTTTTGCCAAGTCTTATGTTCACCAGCAGTTTGATTGGCGTTTAATATGCTGTTTTCTCTTGTTTTTGTTTGTTTTAGACTGTGAAAATATGGTTGGGTGTATTAAATAAAGACACTCATATGTAACCTCTTTTTTATGGGACCAAACTAACATTTTAATGAAGCATCTCCATTCTTGCACTCTTCTCATGAAGACTTGACCCGAAACCTTTAGCATTAAACGTAGACTAATTAAATCAAGCTTGTATCACCATTAAATCAGATTAATTTCAGTCTCAATGACACCTGCTCCTTGAATGCACTTTTGTTATCATTTTTTGTTGTTGGTGGTGCAACATAAATCTGTAGTGTAATACAGTTTCAGTCTTGATTTAATTTGTCTGCAAAATGGATTGTTGTAAAAAGACCTTCATTAAGATTTGATATTTTTAATCTGAAAAGCTGTTAGTAAATCTAGTTTTTGGTTCTATTCCCTCAAACCTCCACTCATCTGCCCGAGGAGCCACCTAGCTGAACATCTTTCTGTAATACCAGGAAAGTATTATCATACAGTATATGTTGACTATGACTGATAGTATGTTCACATTTAGCCATGGCTCAAATATATTTGTGATAACAAATGGAGAATTTCAGTGTCACCTCTGAACATAAAATAAAACTTAGCCTGAAAAAAAAATAATAAACGAGTCACTTATTCCATTCTTTATGGCATTTAATTATTAGCTATTTCATGCTTTCTGATTTTTTATTTCCAGTAATGAATCCCTTTTCTTGCATTTTAGTGTAGTAAAATCCCAATTAACTAGCACAACTGTGTTCATAACTGTATTCAATAAGCCAGCATTTCTAATACAACTGCAGTTTTAGGTTTTTGGATGTATTTGATTATTTTCAGTTGCCAAAATACCATTGTGTGCCTCAAAATTATTGATTTTTCTTTTATGTCTAAATCTTTAGGATAGTATGCAACAACATTCTGTAAAGATACTTTATGATACGCATACTCTAAATACATCTAACCACATTTTTTGATTACTAATGTTCATTGCTAAGCACTTTATTTAAACAAATTTAAAGGCGTTTCTCTCTCAGTATTTAGATTTTTTTTTAACCGTCAGATTTGGTATTTTCAATAGTTGCATATCAGTATTTTGTACTGTCCAAACAAACTATACATGAACAGAAGGCTTAATTATTCAGCTTTCCCGTGATGTATAAATCTCAATATATACAAAATAAAATGACACTTATGGTCTGTTTTGTTCTACTGGGTAGCACAGTTGCACTAGAAATTATATATATATATAATATTTTCTTCTCAGAATTCCACTAAAAAGTTTAAATGAAATATTTTGTAACATTATAGGTCTAATTAATATCACGTTTAATCTATTTATAACATCCAAATAAAATTATACTTCAAACAAGGTTTTACTGACCCTCAGCTTTAGAACTACAACACGGAAGCCAACTTGTGAAGAAGTCTTGTGTAATTTAGCTCATATGAAACCCTATGTCAACGATAATTTTATCAACTAGCACACAAACTAACTGATACTGCACTTAAAATGTGTATCATTTTATTAAATAATTTATATCAAAACGATGAAACACCAATACAATAATACATGAGTCAGTTATTTTATAAATCTTGGATCCGGGACCCAAATTGCAGACAAACACACGGTGAAGAATCAGTCAGAGAGGATAAGAGAAGCTTCTGATCTAAGTGCCGACATTTGGGGTGTTTTCATGCAAACTCTGCAGGGCGAGATCTGACCACTTCATCTCTTGCTCTTTGACGGACTCTGTCGACCCACCATTGTCCTGCTCAGCTTCAGGAAGTTCACTCTGTCAGGAGAAAAAAACAAAATTGTCCAATGGGCTTCTACGCAATTTAAACACAGTAACGTTAAAGATATGCTCAAATAGTTTAGGGATTCTTGTGTGGAAATGTAACGTAAATGATGACAAACTATTTTTAAAACTGTATTTGATGTGCATAACGTTATCTCACTGTACACTGCCTTTCATTTATGTTCATTTTACCTTGGGCGTGCGCAAATCGAACTGCACACATCAAAACTCTACATTTATACTATTTCTTACCAGTGGGATCGTCACATCCTCGTATGGCAGTCTGTCCTCTCTCCAGGCATCATCTGTTAGATCAAGAACTCGTCCGTCTCTCTGCACTTCACTGTCCATGATTCGCTTACACGGCAACACACAGTCGACAGATCAAACGACGCAGAAACGCTGTACAGTAAGTTATGTTATGTTTGTTATTACGAAAGCTCCAAAATCATCTGTGTAAGTTCATACAAACCTGTGTAGTCTAGTTCCCAGCGCTGCCGTTTGTTGTTATGTCGCTTTCTGATGACGACATATCCTATGCATCAGACCTTTTCTGGCATATAAATATCTGGACAACTGTATACTTATTATATTTCTATGTTGTCAGCTATTTTTCGCATTAAACATAGTCGCATTAAATATGGCAAAGCAATGACAATGCACGTTTTTATTAATAATTTGTAAATATAATTTTTTTCTTTTTTTGGAAATATGTTCACTAACGTATAAACGAGAGAATCGTTTATATGTTTTCAGTCAAAAGATGCTTATTAATTACAGATTTGTGTACTTTAAATGCATATTTGAAATATATATTTGAGCAGATGAAAATCGATGCACTTTATAATGTGTGTGTGTGTGTGTATATATATATACACACATAAATATACTAATATATAGTATACTAATAAATATACTAATACACATATATTGTAACCATTGTAAAGACATGTAACGTTATACATGCTATACATTCAAACAATATCACCGTTTTGTAAATGTGTAAAACATATTTACAAGTATTTTTCTTCAGTATACAGAATGCATGTAAAAGCCATGCGCGGAGGTCGGGCAAGTAAAAACGACAATTACGTCAAGACGTCAAAAAATCGCCGAATCGTTACAAGCGGTTGAGTCGAGCTGTTCGAAACAACCGATACACGAAGGGTAGATGTACTAACCGCTCAACTAACGCCATGACCAGATCTCGAATCTGACCAATGAGCTGTGAGCAATCGAGCTCGCGCTGTAAGGAAGTGAGCCGCTATTGGCTGCATTCGACTGTGCTACTGCAGTGACAACAGAGGGTCAGAGGGTTTTTACTTCAGCTGTTTTTCCTCGCTGTTGTGTCTTCAAAAGCACCTTTACAGGTAAGCTGACTGTTACCTGCAATTACAGTATTAGCTTTGACTATTTGTAATCAGAAATCACAGGCTGTGCATTCTTTCTTGATCCTCTTTTGTTTATATTGTCTTAAAAGTACAAAGTTACAGTTTACAATGCTGGGGAAGGTGCAATTGCATGTACCTAAGTTAGTATTCTCCGTGTTTTTCTTTACCAGTATTTTGCTTAGATTATTACAGTACTGTTCACATGATTTTCTCTTCACTCACATTTTATGTCAAGACATTATTTTATCCACATGTCAGTTTTGAGACTTTTTTGTATTTTGTCATGCAGTGTTATTTGTTCAGTTAACAGTTAAAGAAAACATCCAAAATATTTTTGCCGTTTGTCCTTTGTCACACTTTATTTATTTGTGCCTGTAAATTTAATCTTCAATACATATTTGTAAAGACTTTTCTCAAAGGGATTTTTTTCTTGTATTCAGCTAAATATCTCCACTTCAGCAGCACTTATAATATATAGACCTTTACAGTTCTGTCTGTACTCTAAAGAAGTTTTAAAGAGTGACAGGTTAAGCAGATTACCAGATAATTTACCAGATTCCAAACATTTTATTGTACAAAAAACGTAAAAAGTATTTTATGGCATTTTGCAGTGTTTTCTGAAATATGGAGCGATAAAAAGAGATCTTCAAATCCCTCCGTAAAAATATGTAAAAAATGTAACATCTTTTGAAGCTCTCTTCTTTTAATGTTCATATTTTTGTAATAGAAGTGTATGCATATTTAATTACAAATATTTTTTATTCATACCTTAATCAGTCAAGTGGAAAAGTATGGTGATAATTATTACTGGCTGCTTTTTTTTAACTCTATTCATTCACCTGCCGTGTCCTGCCTCAGTAATACTTCTGTTCTATCTGTCCTCTTAGGGTGAAAGATGGACCTTGTGCTGAACGTTGCAGATCATTACTTCTTTACTCCATATGTATATCCATCATCATGGCCAGAAGACAATCCTCTGCGCCAAATCATCGGTCTGATGGTGGTCACCAACCTGGGTGCTGCAATTTTATACCTGGGCCTGGGTGCTTTGAGCTACTTTTTTGTTTTCGACCACAAATTAAAAGACCACCCTCAATTTTTGGAGGTTTGTTAGCAGTATAGTTTAGAATCAGGAGTAAAGTGATTATATTATATAATATATTATTTATATTGTTGTTTTTATTAACAGAATCAGGTGCAACGTGAAATAAAGTATGCTTTGTGGTCTCTGCCCTGGATCAGCATACCCACAGTAGCACTGTTCTTCGCAGAGGTCAGAGGATACAGCAAGCTCTATGACAGAGTCGATGATTCTCCTCTTGGTAAGAGATTAGGACTGTGTTCATGAACACTTATCAAAGTTTGTGCTTAGAAAGGATAACTTGAAGGAACCGCTTGCTTTATAAAGGAAGTCATAGTTATTATTTTACATGTTTGGTTCTTTTATAAAGAGAAAGCTGTCTAGAAACCAATAACTTTAATATTAAAACAAAACTGGACGCATTAAAAATGATTGAATGTGAAATGCCTAATATTAGAAAATGCCAGTCTATCAGATGTGCTCTGGATAAATGTGTTACTGTGGGCACACCAATCTCATCCTATTTGTGCTTTTTTTTTGTTCCAGGTTGGTCAGGGCTGATTTTCAGCATGGTCTCTTTCCTGTTTTTCACTGACATGTGCATTTACTGGATTCACAGGTTCCTTCACCACAAGTTGATATATAAGGTATGTGTTATTTATGTCAATGCAGTGCAGTTCAAATATAAGTAAAGACAATGCCTGCATTATTCCTGACATGCTTTTTCAAAATGTTTACAGAATGAATGCAATATAATTTGAAGTTTTAAACCTTTAGACCAACCATTTATCTGAAATTTGTGCAAGCACATAAATTAAAGGTGCATAGGAATCTTTGAACAGTGCTAAAATCTAAAAAAAAAAAAATTAAATTGCATGAATAATAAAACAAAAAGAAACTTCTTACACAATGAGTACATATTAAAAGAAAAGACTAAAATAAACTATAATATATAAATTATTTTATTGTAGTAAATTTTGTAATGTTTTATTTTAAAACTGCAGTTCTTTATTGTTACTTATTTGCTACTATAAAAATATTTTTTGCATTATACTTTTAAATGAATCATTCTTCAATTTAGTTATTTTAGTGCTCCTGGCATTTTATAAGTTGAGTGTTAGGTTTAGTCATTTTAATACCTCAACTTAATATAACAATTTAAGTTCAAACCCAAGTAGTGAATGCTTTTGAATTCACTAGTATTCACTTGATTAATTTGGTAAAATTGTGTGTTTTCTATATATAATAAAATAATTTATTTTTTTATACAAATTTAGCATCCATACAATACGTACATACAGTAATAAAAGTCTTCAACTTGCCTGACTCAAAATACAATCTGCGTGTTAAGTGTGACGTCACACATAGCGGCTTCAGGGTCCGAGTGCTCTATCAAACTGTATGGGGAGACTCAACAAATGGTAATAATAAACGTTTACAAAGCACTGTAATACTTTTGAAAATCCCAATCCCAATATATATAGATCCATGGCTACTATCTGTTGGCCAGAAAGTGATACACTTTTTATAAATTGTTCAAATATTGGTATCTGTAATGCAGCAAGACTGTTGTGTTCACCATAATTTAATGGAAAATTCACTTTGATGTGTGATATGACTAAAAAGTGATCATCATAAAAGAATACTTTCTCAATTTAAATGTGCAGTGGTTTGGATCAGGAAACAGTATTCAAGACTTCATGATTTAACAAGCAGAAATGCTTTCATTTACCAATAAAATTCTTCTTCGCTCTGTACTGTGTAAAAGCTGTTCTTCAATATTTCAATAGATAAAATATCATTTAAATTATATCTAAAAGTAGTATATAATAAAGTTTATATATATTTAATATAATAATATTTAGTTTAACATGTTTGTTTTTCTTTCCAGTATTTCCACAAACCACATCACGTTTGGAAGATTCCCACACCATTCGCCAGCCATGCTTTCCACCCTGTGGACGGATTTCTTCAAGGCCTGCCGTACCACATCTACCCCTTCTTCTTCCCTCTGCACAAGGTTCTGTACTTAATCCTGTACGTGTTTGTCAACATATGGACCATCTCCATCCACGATGGGGACTATCGTGTACCCAACATGATGGAGGAGATCATCAATGGCTCCGCTCACCACACTGACCACCACCTCTTCTTTGACTACAACTACGGCCAGTACTTCACCCTGTGGGACCGTATTGGAGGATCCTACCGCTACCCTTCAGCCTTGATGGGCAAAGGGCCACACGACCAAATTAAAAAACTGATGGCAGAAGGGAAACTGATCACAAACAGCTCAAAGGGCCACACTAACAATAATCAAAAAAATGGTATTCACGTCAAGAAAGAGTAGGTAGGCAGGTTTCAAGGTAGGACTTTTGATCTTAAAGGGATAATTCACCCAAAAATGGAGATTTGCTTGTTTATTCACTCTAAGGCCATCAACGATGCGGGTGTCTTTAACTCCTCAGTAGAACAATAACAATTATTTTTAGCAGAAAATGAATACCAGTTTCTCCTGATGATAATACATTAAGGTCTTACACTCTAATACACTAACTGCGCATAAACGATGTGGGGTGCGTACACTAAAATCCACTCCAATAATAAAATTTAATTAGAAAAAATAAAAAAAACATGGACTGATGCTCTTTAAAATTCGTTTGATTCGATTTTTTTTAAGGTTGAAATCTGAGACCACTTGGATGTGCACTAGGGCTGTGTGAGTAATTTAAATCGAATTGCAATCACAAGTTAAATCACAAGAGGATGAGACATGAAATATATATGTATTATTTAATTTCCCCTATCCAGAGCAAATGCATGACTGCCGTCTGTGTGTGACAGTCCTACTAGTTAATTGAGTGAGCACACTTTGATTCTGCCCAATCAGAATTGCGCAAGCGAACTATGCAGAACGCCCACAATAAAAATAAAAAAAAATCTATCAAATGGGAAAGCTCGGACAAGTGGGATGATAGTGTCTGCCACTTCAGAAGCATTGACAGATAATTTAATATCAAAGACGTCTGTAATATGGGAATATTTTGTTTCAATTACCAAAACAGGTCATTTGTAAGAGCTGTTGTAGAATTTTTGCCGTGGCACAAGGAAATACAACAACCAGCCTCTACAAAAACACCACAAATGGCCATATGTCACCTGAAAGTATTACAAGTGGCACTCAATTTAGTAGCAAGCAAAAACAGCAAAAGTACAATTTCAGAGTTGCTTGTGAATGTTACACCAGGAGATAACTAATGCCATAACTCGCTACTAAAAATTTATACAAATTAATTTCTAAATATTGAAAAAAATTATTTTGATTAAAAAAGTTGGAGTTAGTTAATAACTTTTCTGTTTCTTTTTTTAATGAACACTCACTGCATTTTAGCAGTAAAAAGCTATGATACAGAATATTGAGCTGAAGCTTGACTACAAAATACAAATTAAATAGAAATCGCAATATCTGTAAAAAAAAAAATAGCAGTAAGATTTTTTCCCCAAATCGCACAGCCCTAATGTGCACAATCGCAAAAACCTTTGCAATTTTCACATTTGTATGGGAGGTGATATGCACTTTTTTGCATATGTCTGTTTCTGAATCAATACACCCATTTAAGAAATGATCAAATATACATATACAGCATAACAGTTTCAATAAAACTTAATAAAAAGAGCCTCCTGAACATTATTTCCAACAAAATGGCTTACTATAATTCTCAAAGGGTGGCTCAGTGGTCGCCTCACAGTAAGAAGGTCGCTGATTCAAGTCCTGGCTGGGTCAGTTGGCATTTCTGTGTGGAGTTTGTATGTTCTCCTCGTGTATTCACGTGGGTTTCCCCCACAGTACAAATACATGCGGGTATAGTGAATTGAATTAATTAAATTGGCCGTTGTGAATGGGTGTGATCTTGCCCAGTACTGGGTTGCAGCTCGAAAGGCATCCACTGTGTAAAACATATGCTGGATAACTTTGTGGTTCATTCTGCTGTGGTGACCACTGATGAGTAAAGGGACTAAGCCAAAGAAAAAATGAACGAATCCTCAACCTTAGTGAACAATCCTGATCGTGTTCACTACTGTCCGGTTTGTGTTCGTTCTCAGTCGACAAGACTGACTTCACAGATTGCACACACACATAAACATAATATTACTTTTTAATATGTAGCAAGATAAGATAAACACAAATGTGTAGCCTAGTCCTCCTTATGTGCAATAAACAAACAAAACAAGGCCTTGTGCATGTTTTTGTCCATTAATATGCCATTGTTCTTCAGGAAGCTCACACTCTCTTTTTACCATGGAATGTAGTCAAAGATAACACTGGTGTAAATAATTAGTTTATTGGACAGACCAATTGCTCCAACTCTTAATATATCATCAGGAGCCAGTGGTATTTTTTTGTTTAGCCTGTATTTTATTTATTTACTTTCAGAAAGTTCCTTGCTGTTGACTCACATTTTATGAATCATCCAGGACAACAGGTTCAACCGCATGACTTAATTCTATTGAAGAAAAATGTAATTCCGGATGGCCTGAGGTAGAGTAAATTAGCAGCACTATTCAATTGTTGTGTGAACTTTCTCTTTATAAATGTCGCTATTCATAAGAGACAATATACTTAGCACTGAAATGACCCCGTTCTGCATAAAATTGTCAAAAGGAAGCAATATCAAAATGTGTCTATCTTTGCCAAATAGAAACATTTGCTATGGATACGCCTCTTGGTATTCAAGCCTTTGTGTAACTTAATATGAATTACTTAAATTAACAGGCTTCTATCAAGCAAGCGTCTATAATTTCGCTGTCATAGACATTCAAAGAATGTATGAGGATTGACAGAACTATCCCTTCAAATGAACTCACTTGACCTCTCTATTAGCACTGACTCCGTAGCTCTGTTCATCTATAAACTGATCAAAGGTTCAAAGAGCAGGTGAAGGGTTTTTACTGATCTACAGTTGTCTTGTTTTAAAAGAGATTCTATGGTTTGCTTTTGATATGATATGCACGTTCTTTCCAAATAAATTTACCTCCATATTTCACTGCTGGTGTAATATCGTGATTGGCAATCCGAGGTTATGCCAGGTTATGTAATCAAGAACTCTATTCTTTAGACTGACAGACGCCATATTGCTCGAGTTACAGGAATGTTAATGATGGACTTTGTATATTTGAACCCACTGACATTTTATTGTCCTTTGTAGCGTAGCAACAGCTGATCATGTGCTCCATCATGGCAAACACAAGAGGGCGCTGTTGCATCACACATAATTCACTGGATGTTTGTGATTAAGAAGAACAACCCAAAGCATTGAAAAGGACAGCAACTGGCAGAATTTTTGTTTTCATCACATTTACATCACAAAAGGGCAGATTTTATTGCTTGTTAATAAGGTGTGGGGTGGAATAATCATACAACTTTATTAGCGCAAAACAAACAAACTCAAATTAACCATATTTGTTCTTCATTATTTAAATGAGGAGAGAAACCTCTAGGCAATGCATTGTTAGGCAAATCTAATTCATGCTCCTGTTTAAAAAAAGTCCTGGAAAGCTAATTAGTGTCTATGGCAACCGTTTATGATTTTTATGACTAATGCATCGCTACAAAGGTTACAACAAGAGATTAGCATTCAAACTTAATGTTACTGCCGTTGTATCACTTGTTGGAGATGCTTGCAAACTTTAGGATGCGTTGAAAGGGTAAGCAGTTATTTTGTGCTCAAGTCTGGAGGAAATGTAGATTTCTGTTGCAGTCACATCTAAGAAAAGTTACTTTACAGGAGACAAATAAGGATCTATTTAGAATAATAGTTGAATTTTGAGGCTTCATCGAGTAATATTTTTCAGGTTGTATGATGTGAATATGCTCATTTGTTTAGTTCTTTTTAAAGTACACAATCAACATGGACAGATTGAACATGAATGAAAAATCAGTTTGCAATCGAAAAAAACAAACCACATCACTTTTTTCTCCCTGAATTGCATCATAATACAGAAGTAAAATTACTTTGAATTAATGCAGACTTTGATGTTAACTAAAGGACCTTTATTATAGAACAAGTATGGAATAATATCAGATTTAATTTTTGTGTCTACAATTTGAAACTTTTTTTTTTTTTTTGCTATGCAACAGATGTCTTAATTTATGACATTTGTTAAAGGGTACCTATAATGAAAATCAACTTTTGGACAGAACTGTGTGTTGTTAGTGTGTCCACCGTCATATTGGAGTGATATAAACTAATATTAAAATTTCCTGTCGTTAAAAAAGGGTCCAAATCCCTTCCATTTTGAGGCCCAACACCACGTGACGAATGAGTGTGGTTTTCCCCACCCACCGAATTGATTGACAATCGTGTATTAACATGTTTCCATAGTAATGTGTATAATCATATCAACAAGACAGAACGTGCACAAAGCAACTGAGAGTAAAAGATCTGTTCAGTTAACTGTGATCATCTGCAGAATGAGTTTTACAAGTTTAAAACATTTTTAAAACAGTGCATGTTTGTAATAAAGACAGTAAAATCACTATGGAATTCATCACCACAGCTGCATAGTGTTGGTACAATGACTAAAGAAGACGCCCACAAACTTATACACTACTCTGACATTGGGTGTGACTCATCGTTGCAGAAAGGCTTGAATTAACTCCACAATAAATATATATCAAATAACAGTTGGGAAAGGTCTTACTGTAGTAAGGGAGATCTGCTTCTTTCTTGTCTGTCACTGTGCTGTTTATCTACATGAAGGCTATGACTCACACATGGGAATAGTAGGCGCAGGCAACAAAAACAGCTATGATGTCTTAACAGCTCAAATTTCCCAGAATTAAAAATGTATAATAAATAATCGGATTGGTATTTTGAGCTGAAACTTTACAGACACATTCTGAAGACAAAAAAGACAATTATTAAATCTTGAAAAAAGGGGTAAAATAGGTGCCCTTGAAGTTTTGTTGTGTGCAGATTTATTTTCTGTTACATTTTTTATTTTATTTATATATATATATATATATATATATATATATATATATATATATATATATATATATATATATATATATATATATATATATATAGGTTAATTAGGTTACCTAGGCAGGTTAGGGTAATTAGACAAGTTATTTTATAACGATGGTTTATCCTGTAGACTATCAAAAAATATATAGCTTATCAGAGCTAATAATATTGACCTTAAAACGTTTATTTAAAACTGCTTTTATTCTAGCCGAAATAAAAAAATAACTTGCTCGAGAAGAAAAAATATTATCAGACATACTGTGAAAATTTTCTTGCTCTGTTAACATAATTTGGGAAATATTTAAAAAAGAAAAACAAATTCAACGGGGGCTAATAATTCACTTTAACCGTATATATATATATATATATATATATATATATATATATATATATATATATATATATATATATATATATATATATAGTCTATAAAACAATAGCAGAGTTCAGACCACAGCCATTTGGATACAGAACAATTACATCAGTTAATACTATATGAAAAACCATAATACATATGCTTTCAAATAAAAAGGGCTTGTGAATTTAAAGCAGCAGATGACCTTTACTTGAAGTTAAATACTCTTTT